ATTTTTTTTTTGGGGGCCAACTTTTTTTTGGGGAAGGAAAAAAGAAATTCGAAAATACTATTATTAGAGAAAATGGCAATTTGAGGATCTTGTTTCGGAAGCTTCCTAATGCTCGTGCTCGTTAGCATTTAGCGATGGCCGATGGCACTGTAGAGCGAACCACTTTGTGTAAATTACTATTGCATTTTACATTCTAAACGTAACATATATTAGCGAAAGGAGATTCGACAATTGATGCGTATTTACAATGAAGTTTAAATCATTCATTTAATTTCTTATTTAGTTTTCAGTTTATTTTCTTACTTTTCCTTTATTTTTTCATTTTATTTTCTTACTTTTCATTTATGTTTCATATATTTTCGCATTTATTTTCTTATTTTCTTATTTTTCATTTATTTTCATATTTCGTGAGTTTTGTTTATTTTTTTTGAAAACATAAATAATATTAATCAGAAATGATTAAATTGATTTTAATTTTTTTATTTCTTTTATAGTGAAATGAAAATTGAGAAAAAATTAAAAAAAAAATTAATTTAAATCACGTTTTTTGTAATCTTACAATTAGCACTTTTTGAAATTTTTTAACGCTTTTTTACATTTATCAGTAGCTTTCATTTTTAAGACTATATCAGAGATCACCCGGTAAAATTTTTTTGGAAGAAGAACTATTATATATTAGTTTGGGATATTTTTATAAATTCACCTCTGTAATAATTCATTCATATCCTTGTAAATTGTTTTTCATTTCTGAAAAGTAAATTTTTAAATCATATATGTCAAATTTTTTTTTATTATTTTTCTTAAAATATCAAAATAAATATTTGAATATATTAAAAAATAAATGAAAAATCAAATATAAAATTAAATAACTAAATGAAATAAAAAAATTAAATGAAACATTTAATAAAAAATATAATAAAAAATTAATTAAACAATTAATAAAAAATTTAATAAAAAATTTAATAAAAAATTTAATAAAAAATTAATTAAACAATTAATAAAAAATTTAATAAAAAATTAAATTAAAAATTAAATTAAAAAAAGAATGAAAAATTAAAATATAGTAAAATACAATTAATGTATAAATAAATAAAAAAAATTTTGGAAAATAAAAATTTGCTGATTTAAGTAAAAAAAATGCACATTAATTAAAAAAACAATTTTAATATATTTTTTATTAGTTATTAACTATTAAATGTTTGTGTATTATTTATAATTTATTCTCTGTACAAAAATGAAGTGTAACGACCTCAGTACTAATATTTCTATCCTAAAATTTCTGTTTTTTTTTTCTATATAAAATTTTTGTTAACGTATAGTAAAGCAATTGGTTACATCAGCAGCATTTTGTTTTTAACATATGTAATAATCTAGCTCGAATGAATATTTTTTCTGTATTTTCATTTCTACCCCGAAAAAAAAAAATCTTTGGAAGGCCTGCCTTCCTCTTTTGTTTTATCAGCAAAAAAATAATATCACGCTTTGAAAATTATTCTCTTTTTCATGAAAAAATTTTTTAAAATAAAAGAAATAAAATAAAAAAAAGAAAAATTGTAACTGCTGAAATAGTATAGACAAAAATTTGTAATGATGAGATGAGGAAAAAAAAAGAAAAAAGTGTTAAAAGGTAGAAAAATATCAAAACTAAAATCTTAGATTTTTATAGTTAAAAAAAATTTTATTGGTCTTAACGCTAGACCAAAATATTTCTATATTAACGATAGACAAAATAAATATAAATAATTTAAAAAATATTTCTCCAATTCTTTTTACTACTAATTATTATTTTTTTTATGTATGTTCTACTTAAACGTAACTCAACCACTATGGTATTGTCAAACATTCTCATGCACTTAGGCAAAGCGCATTAAAAGCTTACACATGTATTTCATCAATTTTTCTATTAAAAAAAAAAAAAAAAAAAAAAAATTCGTAATTGGCGAAAATAAATTTTTTTTTTAAATCTTCGAAACTTTTTCTTCAAAAATTTCGATTGAAATTGAAAAATAACTAAAAAAATAAAAACAGGAATTATCGAATATTGAAAAGTTAAAAATACAACCGAGTAAATTAAAAAATATTGAAAATGTTTCATCTGAAACCATAAATTGAACAACATTCAATTAAATAAAAAAAAAGTGTTTGGTGCAATTTTTTTTTTATTGAATAAATATAAATTAATTAATAAAAAGTCATAAAACTGACGTTTCAATTTTATTATTATTTTTTTTTCGCCCCTCGGTGAAAAAATGTGTGTTCAAGTATTTTGCGAAAAATCCATGGGGGTAAAAAAAAAAAAAAAACAGAATACAAACCGGCAGAAAAACGTCATTATTGTTGTAGCCACAAGCAATATAAAATAAAATGCGCCGAGATCGTAAAACCACGGCTTTTCCACTACTGCTTTCAAGCCTATGACGTCGTTAAATTTTCTGACAATTGACACCTTTTTTTTTTTTTGTTGCTAGTTTAGAATCACAGACACGTGTATGTGAAAAATAAAAAAAAAAAAAAAATACCGCGAAGGTTTGTTGTCGCCTCGGCACTCTTTTAAAGCGATTTATCGATTTTAAGGTGGGGGGGAGGGGGAGGGAAAAAAAAGAAGAGAGGTGTGTAAAGGCACCTCTTTGAAACTTTTATGACCTGCTATTTAAAGTATAAAATTATTTGCACTCCCTTTTTTTAGTTTGAAAAAAAAATTTATTATTAAAACATGAGAAATATTTAAAAATTTATAGAGACTATTTTTATTTTTAAAATAAAATCTGAAATAATATGTGAAAATATATAAATGTAAAAGTGTTTGGAAATAATCACACAGGCAATCGAAACAAAAGTTGTAGAATTTAAAATTTTGAAACTATAAATAAAAAAAAATTCTTTTAAATTAATCCAATTCTCTAAATGTGTATTAGTAAAAAATTTCAATTTAAATTAGTTTTTTTTTTTTACTTTTGAATTGGTAAAATTTCATTAATTAATATTAAAAAGTATTTTTTATTATCGAATTTTTACTGTTATTTAGTTAAATTTTACTAATTCAAAAACCAAAAGTTAGTCACTAATTCAAATCAGTTCAAATTTTTACACTCTAATTCTGAATTAGTAAAAATATCAACTAATTTCAATTAGTGATTCACTTTTTTGCTTTTGAATTAGTAAAATTTCACTGATTAATAGTAGAAAATTTTTTTTTACCACCAAATTAGAAAAATTAATTTAATTAAAAGTAGACAAAATTTTTTTTTCCCATCAAATTAGTAAAATTAAACTAATTAGCAGTAGAAAAAAAATTTTACTATCGAATTAGTAAAATTTAATTAATTGATAGTAGAAAAAAAAATTGTTTACTATCGAATTAGTAAAATTTACCTAAGTAGCAGTAGAAAAAAAATTGTGTACTATCGAATTAATAAAATTTAACTAAAAAATAGTAGAAAAAAAATTTTTACTACCAAATTAATAAATTTTAATAAATTGATAGTAGAAAAAATTTTTTTTATTATCGAATTAGTAAAATTTATTTAATTGATAGTAGAAAAAAATTTTTTTTACTATCGAATTAGTAAAATTTAACTATGTAGCAGTAGAAAAAAAATTTTTACTATCGAATTTGTAAAATTTAATTAATTGATAGTAGAAAAAAAAATTGTTTACTATCGAATTAGTAAAATTTTACTAAAAAATTGTAGAAAAAAAATTTTTACTACTAAATTAATAAATTTTAATTAATTGATAGTAGAAAAAAATTTTTTTATTATCGAATTAGTAAAATATAATTAATTGATAGTAGAAGAAAAATTGTTTACTATCGAATTAGTAAAATGTAACTATGTAGCAGTAGAAAAAAAATTTTTTACTATCGAATTAGTAAAATTTAACTAATTATCAGTAGAAAAAAAATTTTTACTATCGAATTTGTAAAATTTAATTAATTGATAGTAGAAAAAAAATTTTTACTATCGAATTTGTAAAATTTAATTAATTGATAGTAGAAAAAAATTTTTTATTACCGAATTAGTAAAATTTAATTAATTGATAGTAGAAAAAAAAATTGTTTACTATCGAATTAGTAAAATTTAACTAAAAAATTGTAGAAAAAAAATTTTTACTACTAAATTAATAAATTTTAATTAATTGATAGTAGAAAAAAATTTTTTTATTATCGAATTAGTAAAATTTAATTAATTGATAATAGAAGAAAAATTGTTTACTATCGAATTAGTAAAATGTAACTATGTAGCAGTAGAAAAAAAATTTTTTACTATCGAATTAGTAAAATTTAACTAATTATCAGTAGAAAAAAAATTTTTACTATCGAATTTGTAAAATTTAATTAATTGATAGTAGAAACAAAATTGTTTACTATCGAATTAGTAAAATTTAACTATGTAGCAGTAGAAAAAAAATTGTGTACTATCGAATTAGTAAAATTTAACTAAAAAATAGTAGACAAAAAATTTTTACTACCAAATTAGTAAATTTTAATTAATTGATAATAGAAAAAAAAATTTTATTATCGAATTAGTAAAATTTAATTAATTGATAGTAGAAAAAAAAAATTTTACTATCGAATTAGTAAAATTTAATTAATTGATAGTAGAAAAAAATTTTTTTACTATTAAATTAGTAAAATTTAACTAATTAATAGTAGAAATTCTTATTTTACTATCAAATTAGTAAAATTTAGCTAATTAGCAGTAGAAAAATTTTTTTTTCTATTGAATTAGTAAAATTTATTTAATTTATAAGTAAAAAAGTGAGTCACTAATTTAAATTAGTTAAAATTGTTACTAATTCAGATTTAGAGAATATTTTTAATAATTTTTTTATTAATATATTTTAATTTATAATTCTAGTGTGCCAGTATTAATAATATAATATAATATATAATATAATTTTAATATAATATTAATAATATAATTAATAAATTTTAATTAAAAAATTATTTACTAAAAATATGAAGACCAACTTTTTGTTTCGACTGTCCGTCCAATTCTTTAAATAAAATATTTTTTGATTTATTGTTTTGAAATATAAGTACGAGGATTTTCTTTGACGACATACACTTACATTGAAAAAGAAAAATTTATAGTTTGCGAGAATTTTTCAACTCGAAAAGAGATAGAAAAGTGGCAGTGATATAAACGACATAAAGCTGAGAGATGCGACAGATTTCATTGCGACAGAACAAAAAAAAAAAGAGGGGGGGTGGGGGTGACTTGACGGATTTGACGTTCGACGTCCGACGACGAACGATGTCAGCGACGATAAAATTCGACTATTTCGCAGCATTTTGTTATTGGACCCGTATATATATATATATATATATAGATATTCGTGAACGTGACTGCGGTGCGGTTCCGTGAGGTATCGAATGATATGTTTGCTGACAGTATCAATTTCGAAACAACGTAACCGGATTCATATCAAAGCGTCATTCCTATTGGCCAAATAACCATGGACATTTCGATTTGTAAATCGTGTTGTATAATCCTAATGCAAATGTTAATTCAATTATTTTAGTTATTTACTTTATTTCAAATAATTGTATAATAAAAATAGAAAAAATACTATTTCGCCAATTACGAATTTTTTTTTCCCACTTTCCCGAAATTGTAATTTTTTTTTTTTCAAAATTAAATCTTCTATTTTTATTTTCTATGGGTGAAATAAAAAAAAAAAAAAAAGTTTATTCATGAATGTGAGAGAAAAAAAAATCGAGGGATACAATATCATATCATATTCAGGATGATGGTTTTGCAAACCACTGTTCTGTGGCATTGCATTTTATATCTAGCGCGCAATTTTTTTTTTTTTTTTTTTTAGAGGCGATTTTTTTTTTCTGGTCACATGCATAAAAAGATTTAAATCACAGCATTGGAAAATCATTCCATTAGTAATTGGAATATTAGTAATAGAAGACAAATGAAAGAGATATTCTTTTTTTTCCATCAGCAAATCATTTTTTAGATTTAAAAAAAAAACATTTGTATCCCATACTCACATTTCATAAAAGTTTACGATTTTTTCGCTTTTTGTTATTAAAAAAGTCGTGAATTTTTTTTTTTCCTTTTGGTGACAGCGGTGGGATTTTTAATAATCGTGATTATTTAATGTAAACAATTTTTTTTTTTCTCTTTTGGTGACAGCGGTGGGATTTTTAATAATCGCGATTATTTGATGTAAACAATTTTTCTAATTGATTCTAATTGAATCTAATTGAATCTAATTGAAGAATTATTTAATTAGTGAAAAATTGATAATTTCGGGAAAGATGAAATTTCGTCACGTGAGCTCCATTAGTCAGTGACTAAAATTTATATTACGATTTTATCATGCACTTTTTTCGTCATACATTTTTTTTTTCAGGCAATCGCATTTTTAATTAATTAGATTCTGCAAAGTCAACAACAGTTTTGTAAAAGATCTGAGTGATAGAATCAACACACAACACTGCGAGAACACCGTCACTCTCTTTCAATTTATATAGCACCGACGACATATCGATTGCATTTTTTTTTCTTTTTTTTTTTTTATATAGAGATAGCAAACTGTGACTGTCGACCACCGAAAAGTCGACATGTCTCTATATCGAACATCAAATGCAGAAGGGATGTGAGGGAGGGGGGGATATCGATTCGCAGAATGGTTATTGTCGAGTCGTCATCATCGTCACCTACTTGAGTGTTCGATTTTTTTTTTCTTTTTTTTTTTTTTACTATCTACTTGGTCGTCCACCAATTACCGTTCAGCTCACCGATCATTGAAAGTCGGATTAAATTCCAACCTTCTAATTCCTTGTATCAAGTATCATTATTTGGTAATTTGTAGCCCAAATTTTTTCGCTGTAAAAAAAGATGTATTTCACGAAAACTTGGACGATTAATGTCATTACGCTGCCAACATTCGCACATTAAATCATACATTTCCTTTGGACAATTTTTTGGTAGCGGCAATATTATCTGTAACAGAAAAGAAATTTTTCGAAAAAATTTACAATTATGTAAATATTTATTTAATATTTAATATTTATTTAAATATTTATTTAAATATTTATTTATCTAAATGTTTCTTTTTGCGCTGAGAAAAATTGAATGAAAATAACTTTCAGTTTGGAAAAAGTGAAAATTACCCGAAAATCCTTTTTTTTTTTTTGTGAAATTGTATATAAAAAAGATTTTTTTATTTTTGATCTTTATAGCATCTTGAATCCGGAAAATGTGAAATATTACTTTTCGATGCCGATGGTTTTAACGTTTACTCTTTTCCGGCTATAAAAAGTTTGTGGATGCGACATAATAGTTTCTCTGTATATGTACGTTGACATAAAAAAGCAATATAATGAAATGTGCACTCGACTTTCAATAATGCATCGTGGTTAAGCTTTTCGCAAATGTAAAAATTAATTATTATTATTATTATTTTTTTAAATATTAATATATGCACACAAATAAAATGCAGATAGTTTACAAAAATTACACTGAAAAAAAAATTATTTCATTCAAATAATCGACTACGAATAAATATTTATTTGTTTCAAATAATTATTTATTTGTATTAAATTAATATTTTTTTGTATTAAATGAATATTTTTTTGTATTAAATAATTATTTATTTGTATTAAATAATTATTTACGTATATTAAATAAATATAGTTTGGTATTAAATAATTATTCATTTGTTATAAATAATTTTTTATTTGGATTAAATAAATATTTATTTGTATTAAATACGTATTTAAGTGTATTAAATAAATATATTTTGGTATTAAATAATTATTTATTTGTTATAAATAATTTTTTATTTGGTTTAAATAAATATTTGTTTGTATTAAATAATTATTTATTTTGTATTAAATAACTATTTATTTGTTATAAATAATTATTTATTTGTATTAAATAATTATTTTTTTGTATTAAATAATTATTTACGTATATTAAAAAAATATATTTTGTTATTAAATAATTATTTATTTGTTATAAATAATTTTTTATTTGTATTAAAGAAATATTTATTTGTATTAAATATTTCTTTAAATGTGAGTTGGTTGGTAATTATTATTTGGATCAATTCAAAAATATTTGTTTTAAATACAAAAATTATTCATCCAAATAAAATTTAATTCAAATAAATAATTATTTGTTTCAAGTAAATATTTATTTGATAATAGTCAAGTAACCGATTATTTGAATCTAATCAATTTTATGTTCATTTAGTTAATTTAATTTAATTTATTTAGTTTAGTTTATTAAGTTTAGTTTATTTAGTTTAGTTTATTTAGTTTATTTTATTTAGTTTAGTTTAGTTTAGTTTAGTTTAGTTTATTTAGTTTAGTTTATTTAGTTTAGTTTATTTAGTTTAGTTTATTTAGTTTAGTTTATTTAGTTTAGTTTATTTAGTTTAGTTTATTTAGTTTAGTTTATTTAGTTTAGTTTATTTAGTTTAGTTTATTTATTTTAGTTTATTTAGTTTAGTTTATTTAGTTTAGTTTATTTAGTTCAGTTTATTTAGTTTAGTTTATTTAGTTTAGTTTATTTAACTACAATTTTTATCCAAAACGTAAAATAGCCATAAAAAAACATAAACATAAATTATCAAATTGGATTTTATTATAAAATTTAATTTCCATCTTATAAATTAGTAATACGCTCATAAATTTTTATTTGCACCATATAAGTATAGGAAAATAAATTTTTATTCATTATCGCATAAACTATAAAAATGTCGTAAATTTTCCTAAATCAGATTTTTCCAATTATTATTCAATATATCTATGAGAATAAAATCTTTAATGAGAGGTGCTTCAACAAAACATTTTTTTCTTTTTTTTTTTTGCAATAAACTTTTTTCTAAACAATCTATAATAAACAAAAAAAAAATTCTTTTTAATATTTTGATATAGCTATTGAGTTTGAGCAGCTCAGTATGGCAAAAAAAAAGCCTTAAAGAAATTGAAAAGGGTTTATTTTTCATAGAAAAATGAATTTCTTACCCGTTTCTGATCTTCTTGATAAAAATAAGTGGCGTTCTCGACTATCCGATTATCCGGATATTCCTCGAACGGTTGCTCCCTCGCAAAAGTAAGTATTTCCCAGAACGTGACAGCAAAGGCCCATACATCGCTTTTACACGTGTATTTTCCCTGAAACAAGCAAAAAGAAAAAAAAAAAATCACACAGATGGTTGTATATGAAAAACTACAGATCTCGTATCTAGTTTGACATATTCCGTTTCTTTTTTTTTTTTTAATATTGATTTTCTAAAGTTTATGTCATATTTTAAAATAATATTCCCAATAAGTGAAATTAAACAGGAAATTGAATGTCTAAGAAACGAATTTTCAAGAAGATTTTTTTTGAATTTTTGTTTTTTAATTTTTTTAATGTTTTAGTACACTGAGAAAAATGTTTAGTCAGAGCAACCAAAATTTGGTTGGGCCAACAAAAAAATTTTGTTGGTATTTAAACAACCAAACTGTTTGTTTGAGTCAACCAAAAAATTTGGTTGAGTGTTTTTTGTTGGCATAACAAAAATTTTTAGTTAGCTCAACCAAATTTTTTTTATTAGGTCAACAAAAATGTTTGGTTCATTAAACAAACAGTTTTTTTTTGTAAAATTAAAAATTTTATTCTTTTATTATTTGGTTGTCGCAACCAAATTTTGGTTAGGACAACAAACGATCATTTAGTTTTTTAGACCAAACTATTTTGTTGTCGTAACCAAATTTTGGTTGGAATTTAAAAATGTTCAACCAAATAATTTTGTTGACCTAACCAAATATTTGGTTGAGATAACTCTACGACTTTGTTTGAGTCAACCAAAAAATTTGGTTGAGTGTTTTTTGTTGGCATAACAAAAATGTTTAGTTAGCTCAACCAAATTTTTTTTGTTATGTCAACAAAAATATTTGGTTGATCAAGCAAACAGTTTTTTTTGTAAAATTAAAAATTTTATTCTTTTATTATTTGGTTGTCGCAACCAAATTTTGGTTAGGACAACAAACGATCATTTGGTTTTTTAGACCAAACTATTTTGTTGTCGTAACCAAATTTTGGTTGGAATTTAAAAATGTTCAACCAAATAATTTTGTTGGCCTAACCAAATATTTGGTTGAGATAACTCTACAACTTTTGTTTCAGCCAACCAAAATTTGGTTACAAGAACCAAAATTGCCTAACCAAACAATTTTGTTGCAAACACTAAATTTTTTTTCTCAGTATAAGAAAAAGTATTTGTCAAAATACTTATTTTCAAATAAAAATTAAAAAAAAAACATTATTCTCATCACGATACATTGATTTCTTCTTTTTAACGACCATTTTTTTTTTGTGTAACGTTTGATCTTATGTCGTTATAAAAAAAAAACCCAAGCACACACAATATATCGTTTGTCCCTTTTAGTGCGACACAATAAAATAAAAAAAGGGCGTGTGTAATAAAAAGTGCACCAGACTCCTTTGTAATTCATGTTTAATAAAGTTTTTACATACATTATACAGAATCATTATATTTTCATTTTTTCTTTTTTCTTTTTTTTTTTGCTTTTTTATAAGAGGTTTGAAAAAATTGTGCTGTAGGGGACCAATTTCTAACTATATATTTCACTTCCTTTGACGTTATGTTTGTTATATAGTAGATCTGCGTATACGATTTTAAAAATAAAATAACACCTATATGTATATATATATAAAACATATTCAACAATCAGTGCAGTTATGTTGAAAAAAAAGCTCCAAATATGCTTTAATTGTGTCTTGTTGCAGACATTTCGCGTTAATTGGAAACTGTTTTACGATTCGGAAAATACGTTTCATCGTTACGGCATATAAGAGAGAATTAGCCAATGGGTTTTCAATTTTAAAAATTATTTGAAATATGGAGACAATAATTGTTTCAATATATTATAAGTGATTTTTTTTTATTCGAAGAATATTTTTCGAATCAAATTTTGTTAAAATTTTGGTATATTATATGGAATTAGAATTGTCTATTTTTATTGGTGATAAAAATAAAACAAAAATTTGTAGTCTGACCAAACATTTACTTTTACTACTGATTTTCTTATTTAACCGTTAGGTCTGACTAAAAACTTTTTGATAACTTATAAAAAAAATGTCTGACTGAAAATTGACTTGTTCTACTAATAACGGAGCAAAAACGCAAATAGTCTGACTAAATATTTACTTTTACTACTTATTTGATAATTAAACCATTACGTCTGACTCAAACCATTTTGAACTACTACTAATTTTAGAATACTTAATGTCAGACTAAATATTGACTCGTACTACTTAAAAAATTATTTATATTTACTATTTAGTAAGTTTGACTAAATATTAATTTATACTACTACTAATTATTGTAGTAATTTAGTACTACTACTACGACTACTACTAAATAATTACTTACTGATTATTGCAACAAAAGTGCAAAAAGTCTGACAAAACAATTACTTATACTACTTATTTCCTAATTTACGAATTACGTCTGACTAAAAATGTTTTGATCTACTAATATTATAATAATAATAATAATTACGTCTCACTAAATATTGACTTGTTTCACTGATAAAACTACAAAACTGTAAAAAGTCTGACTAAACATGTTCTACTTAGTAATTAATTTACTAAGCCTTTACGTCTGACTAAAAATGTTTTGATCTACTAATATAATAATAATTACGTCTCACTAAATATTGACTTGTTTCACTGATAAAATTAGAAAACTGTAAAAAGTCTAACTAAGCATAGACTTGTTCTACTTAGTAATTAATTTCGTCCTTAATTTTGACTGAAAAATGCTTTGATCTACTAATAATATAAATATAATTACAATTTCTGACTTAATATTAACTTGTACTACTTAATTATTAACTGAGCCTTTACGTCTGACTAAAATTTTTTGATCTACTAATATAATAATAATTACATCTCACTAAATATTGACTTGTTTCACTGATAAAACTACAAAACTGTAAAAAGTCTGACTAAACATTGACTTGTTCTACTTAGTAATTAATTTAGCCTTTAATTTTGACTGAAAAATGCTTTGATTTACTAATAATATAAATATAATTTCTGATTTAATATTGATTTGTACTACTTAATTATTAATTGAGCCTTTACGTCTGACTAAATATTGACTTACACTACTTATTTCCTAATTGAACAATTACGTCTGACTAAAACCGTCTTTATCTACTAATAATACGAAAAAAATAATTAAAATTATTGTACAAAATATTTACTTGTATCACTGATAAAAGTACAAAAATTTGAAAAAAAATTGAAATGCAAAATTTCGAATAAAATTTAATTGATTTTGGAACATTAAAAAAATATTTCTATAGTTTTTCTGAGGGTTTATATAATAATTTTTTTAAAAAATTATTTCTTACCATGAGCATAGATTCCCAAGCCATCCATCGAATTGGAAGAGGAGGTCGGCCTTCTACTTTAAAATAATCGGCAAGATAGGCCGTTCTTCCTGTTCCTAGATCAGAGATTTTTATGAAGTAACCTCTATTCACTAGACAATTTCTGCAACAAACATTACAAAAATCTTATTAGGAAATTTTTTTTATATTTCTATTTTTTCTACAATTATTTATTTATTTATTGACTTATTTATTTATTTACGGGACTTCAAAATTAAAGTACCCTTTGAATACAAATTGTATAATATATATGTATAACGCTGCTATTTAGGAAAGAAAGAAACTAATTTTTAAATAATAGATTACGCAGTACTTGTTACTTATTTACATTACATATTATAAAAACAAAACTTTATATTTAATTTCAAGTTTAATTTTAATTTTGTAAATTTTATCCTTAACTAAAAGAGGATGTAAAGTAAATTAAAAATCAATATTACATTAAAAAAATAGAAATAAACAGAATCTAGAGATGAAAATAATTTTTTTTTCTGTCAAAAAAAAAAACATAATATGACATTAATCAGTAAATTACAGTTTTTGAAATAAAATTACAATTTATAAAAAGAAAAATCTCGTGTCAATTACAGTGAAATCGTGATATTTTTCCTTCTTTTTTTTTTGAATATAATTGAAGCTAAATCTATTTGTGTATGTATATATATATATGTGTGAAACGAGAGGCCGATGCACTGACCCCAAAATTCGTTTCTATAAATCACGACAATTAATTTTCAGCTTGGCATTAATGTAGCAATACACCGGAGGGTATTATAATTAAGCTTTATGATTAGAGTTAATATTTCGAACTCGTGCCCCACACAGTAAACGACAAAAGCGCAGGGCCCATATTGGCTATCAGGTTATGCGTTAGAGCCAAAAGGGTGAATGGCGATAAAACAATAAACTGTTCTAATGAACCAAAACCTTTGACTTTAGCCGTGTGCTCTAAATGCATGGATTTTCATCTATGAATAATTTATATATCTATTATATTTTACTATATACATATATATATATATAATCCGTTTTTATTAATTAAACACAAAAAAAAATTATAAATAGTTTTTTTGTTTTTAATTTTACTATAGTTTTGTTAAAATATTTTTTTTACTGTTAAGATTTAAAAAAAAACTATTATGTCTGACTGAAACCGAATTGTACTACTCATATTATATTTTAGTAATACAATGCAAAAAAAGGGAAAATGTGACTAAATATTGACTTTTACTACTGATTTTCTAATTTAATTATTTTGTCTGACTGAACCTGACCTTTACTACTGATAAGATTACTAGATTCTGACGTATTATATTGATAAATTTACAGAAACTTAAAAGTTGGATTAAATATTTACTTTTACTACTGATTTACTAATTTAGTCGTTATGTCGGACAAAAACCCGATTTTTACTACTTATAAACTTGGAAAAAAATGTAGAATGTTGAATTAAATATCGAGTTTTACAACTGACAAAATTACTATTAGTAATTCCGACTAAATATTGACTAGTACTACTGAAAAATTACTATTAGTAAATCCAACTAAATATTGACTTGTACTACTCACAAAATTACTATTAGTAAATCCGACTAAATATTGACTTGTACTACTGAAAAATTACTATTAGTAAATCCGACTAAATATTGACTTGTACTACTCACAAAAGTACTACTCACTATTAGTAAATCCGACTAAATATTGACTTGTACTACTCACAAAATTACTATTAGTAAATCCGACTAAATATTGACTTGTACTACTGCAAAATTACTATTAGTAAGTCCGACTAAATATTGACTTGTTCTACTGAAAAATTACTATTAGTAAGTCCGACTAAATATTGACTTGCACTACTAACAAATTACTATTAGTAAGTCCGACTAACTATTGACTTGTCCTACTAACAAATTACTTACATTTATTAAGTCTGACTAAACATTTACTTGTACTACTAGAAAACTTAAAAAGTCCGATTGAATATTTACTTTTAATACTGAATTTATAATTTAGTCATTACATCTGACTAAATTCCACTTGTAGTACTGTAAAAATTTAGCCATTATGTCTGACTAAATCCGATTTATACTACTAACAAAATTAAAAACGTTTAGCCAGTGTAACTAAATATTTACTTGTACCACTGATAAGATTACGAAAATTTAATTAACCTTATAATTTTAGACAAAAATTTAGACAATGCTGTTAGTTATTAAAGTATTTTTTATTTCTGTTACAGATGGTGACACTTTTCCTTCGCCGAGAGATGGTTGCCTTTAACCTCGACTTTCAGCAAAAAGGTAAGATTTTTGTTTTTGTATTCATAAGCTTTTAACTAATTAATTTTATTTGCTTTAAAAAATTAATTTGTTATATTTATTTGGCGAGGGGGAAAAATTTTTCAAAGATATTTTATAAAATTCCTGTTACAGAATTTTATGAAATTAAATTTTAAAAAAAATTATATTTTTTGAAATTAAAATAGTACAATTGAATTATTAACTCATCCCTTATGACTGATTAAACATTTAGTTATACTACTTATTTTTTTATTCTACCGTTACGATTGATTAAAAATTCCTTGATCTACTTAAAAAACAAAATAATTAGAATTTCTGACTTAATATTGACTTATACTACTGAATTACTAACTCAACGTTTAGCACTGATTGAACAATTAGTTTTACTACTTATTTTCTAATTTATATATTACGTCTGACTAAAAACGTTTTGATCTACTAATAATTTACGAAAATACACGGAAAAATTTTTTTATCTGTAACAGCTACATATTTCTCTAGAATAGAGAAAACTTTCGCTGTTTTAGTGAAACATATCTCTGTTCCAATGAAACTTATCGCTGTTCCAGTTAAAGATTTTTTCCCGTGTAATTAAAATGTCTGACTAAATATTGACTTGTACTACTGATGAAAACAAAAGTATAAACATTTACATATCTGAGCCTTTATGTTTGATTAAATATTTAGTTTTACTACTTATTTTCTAATTTAGCTGTTATGTCTTACTAAAAATGTCTTGATCTACTAATAATTTAAAAATAATTGTAATGTCTAACTTAATATTGACTAGTACTACTGAATTACAAAATTAACCTCTACGTCTAACGAAATATTGACTTATACTACTTAATTACTAACTTTATGTTCGACTAAACATGTACAACTGACATGTACAATTTATTTTCTAATTTTAACATTACGTCTGACTAAAACTGTTTTGATCTACTAGGAATATAAAAATAATGTCTGATTAAATATTTACCTATTCTACTGATAAATGTACAAAAATTTGAAAAAGTCTGATTAAATATTGACTTGTACTACTTATTTCGCAATTTAGACATTATGTCTGACTAAAACAATTTTGATTTACTAATAAACGAAAAAAAGTATTTTTGACTAAATATAGACTTGTACTACTTATTTTCTAATTTTAGCCATTATATTTGAAAATATATTGGCATAAAAATTAGAAAAAATACATTGGCATAAAAATTAGGAAAATACATTGGCATAAAAAAATAGAAATATACATTGGCAATAGAGTAAAAAATAGTATTACCTCGTTGCAAGATCACGATGCACAAAGTCCATTTCTTCGAGATACTTCATACCAGAAGCTATTTGCACAGCCATATACACCAGTGTACCAAAGCTAGAACAGAAATCAAAAGGCAACGTTTTAGTTGTCGGCACATATATATATATATATATAGCGAAAGACAACATTCAGAAAGCGGAAGTAGTTCGCGTTTGTGACTCTGTAAAATCACGCGCAGCATCGAACTTTATACCAAGTCTGGAATCGTCAAAGTAACCGTAAAATGAGGCCTTCCAACGCGGGTAATATTTGCGCTTGCAATGCAGACACACAGGACACATATATTTATATATAGATATATATAGTATAGCAGTGTGCGCAACAGCAAAAAGGTTTTGCTGTACACCTCAACGTCTCCGGTAGAAAAATTTTATGCCCGAGCTACCCCTTGCCTCGTTACAGCCTGATGGATCGCGAATTACACTTCATTTACGCGCGCGGTCGCTCAACTCACTCACTCACTCACTCACTCACTCGCTCGCTTGCTTCTCGCTCGCATGCTCCAATGCAAAAATGGTCGCTTGATTGAAACTCGTCGCGCAAAAATTTCAATATTCTCTAATCTTCTTTTACTCCTTTCCTTTCATATATATTCGACTTGATTCTTTTTTTTTTTTTTTTTTTTCAATGTCGACACACACTATATCAAAGCGGAGGAAAATAAAATAATTTTCAGTTTGTTGCTGTATTGGACACGGAAAAAAAAATTGTTTCTTTAGAAATATACACCTGTTTACTTTTCATCAAATCCCTTTTAGAAGCTTTTGTATTTTTTTGTTTCTATTTTTTATTTAAAGACATTAAAAAAAATTTATTCAAATGTTTCATTAAAACAAGGATATGTTTTGACTAAAGTAGAGAAAGTTTTCGCTACTCTAGAGAAACGTACATTGAGAAAAATGTTTACTCAGAGCAACCAAAATTTGGTTGGAACAAAAAAATTTTGTTGGTATATTTAAGCAACCAAACTATTTGTTTGAGTCAATTAAAAAATTTGGTTGAGTGTTTTTTGTTGGCATAACAAAAATGTTTGGTTAGAACAAATTTTTTTCGTTAGGTCAACAAAAATGTTTGGTTGATCAAACAGTTTTTTTTGTAAAATTAAAAATTATATTCTACCTTATTCCTTTTCATTTTATCTTTTTTAATTAATTTATTTATTTATTTATTGAATTTATATTTATCCAATTGCGAATCAAATTATTTAGTTGTTGCAACCAAATTTGGGTTAGGACAACAAACGATCATTTGGTTTTTTAGACTAAACTATTTTGTTGTGTGTTAACCAAATTATTTTGTTGTCGTAACCAAATTTTGGTTGGAATTTAAAAATGTTCAACCAAATAATTTTGTTGGCCTAACCAAATGTTTGGTTAAGATAACTCTACGACTTTGTTTCAGCCAACCAAAATTTAGTTACAAGAATCAAAAATTGTCTAACCAAACAATTTTGTTGTAAACACTAAATTTTTTTTCTCAGTGTATCACTTAAAGATTTTTGTAATTTTACACGCATAGAAAATTTTTTGCTGTGGCTGCGAACTATTAGCTGTCATAGCAAATTACGTTAGCATCGGTAAGCAATTGCTTTTTTTTTCCGTGTATCAAATCCCTTTTAGAAGCTTTTGTATTTTTTTTTCTATTTTTTATTTAAAGACATTGAAAAAAAAAATTTATTCAAATGTTTCATTAAAACAAGGATATGTTTTGACTAAAGTAGAGAAAGTTTTCGCTACTCTAGAGAAACGTACACTGAGAAAAATGTTTACTCAGAGCAACCAAAATTTGGGACAACAACAAAATTTTGTTGGTATTTAAGCAACCAAACTATTTGTTTGAGTAAAAAAAAAAAATTTGGTTGAGTGTTTTTTGTTGGCATAACAAAAATGTTTGGTTAGCTCAACCAAATTTTTTTCGTTAGGTCAACAAAAATGTTTGGTTGATCAAACAAACAGTTTTTTTTTGTAAAATTAAAAATTTTATTCTACCTTATTCCTTTTCATTTTATCTTTTTTAATTTCTTTATTTATTTATTATCAATTTAACATTGAATTTATATTTATCCAATTGCGAATCAAATTATTTGGTTGTCGCAACCAAATTTTGGTTAGGACAACAAACGATCATTTGGTTTTTTAGACTAAACTATTTTGTTGCTACCCAAATTATTTTGGTAATCAAATTTTGGTTGGATTTTAAAAATGTTCAACCAAATAATTTTGTTGGCCTAACCAAATGTTTGGTTGAGATAACTCTACGACTTTGTTTCAGCCAACCAAAATTTGCTTACAAAAACCAAAATTGCCTAACCAAACAATTTTGTTGCAAACACTAAATTTTTGTTTTTCTCAGTGTATCACTTATTTTTGTAATTTTACACGCATAGAAAAATTTTCCGGTGGCTGCGAACTATTAGCTGTCATAGCAAATTACGTTAGCATCTGTAAGCAATTCCTTTTTTTTCCGTGTATAATTTAGTAGGAAAAATTAATTAATTAAGAAGATTCGTTGCTAAAAAAAAGAGTTTTTTTTTCGATACTAAATAACAAGGGGGAAAAATTGTTTTCACGACAATATTAGAATTAACAGGCTGTCAATTTAAATTTATTGCCTGAAATCTGAACATTTGGATATGGCTTCGTTGGTGACTGACGTGCCTTAATGCGTTACGTCACGCTTGGCCAAATTATTGTTGTGTGTGACGTGACCGCATGTGTGCGACTCGTGCTCTACATCAGATTATTACATATGTTCGACTAACGATTTTATTTTTTTTTTGTTGAAATTTATTGAAAAAATAATTTTTTCTAAATTATTCATAGCTAAAAAATAACTTTAAAAAAAGTTATTAAATTAAGTAAATATCATAAAAAAGGTCATTTTAGGGGGTTTTGAATATTTTTTTTCTCTTTGCCCCAATTTTTCCCAAAATCCTGACGTTGTAGACATTTTCGGGACACGGTATCGTGTTCAGCGGACAAAAATACATTGAAAACAACTCCCATATCGAAAATAACCAAAAAAAAAATTTTTTTTTGGGTTTCTACCCCCACTTTTTTCAAAATTTTCTATTTTTTTTGTCCTGTGGGTCTTAAGATCTTCAAGCTTTTATTAAAGGCCTCAGGGAAGTAGTTAACATGTCAGATTCAATAGGAAAACAAATATTTTGAAAATCGACAAAAACAGGTTTTTTTGGGGTCTTTACCCCCACTTTTTTCAAAACCCTGATGTGTTAGACAATTTTGGGACTCGGGATCGTGTTTAGCGGACAAAAATACATTAAAAACAACTCCCATATCGAAAATAGCCAAAAAAAAATTTTTTTTGGGTTTCTACCCCCACTTTTTTCAAAATTCTCTATTTTTTTTGTCCTGTGGGTCTTAAGGTCTTCAAACTTTTATAAAAGGCCTCAGGGAAGTTGTTAACATGTCAGATTAAAAAAGAAAACAAATATTTTGAAAATCGACAAAAATAGGTTTTTTTGGGTTCTTTACCCCCACTTTTTTCAAAACCCAGATGTGTTAGACAATTTTGGGACTCGGGATCGTGTTTAGCGGACAAAAATACGTTGAAAATCATTCCGAAGTCAAAAATAAAAAAAAAAAAGAATTTATCAAACCTGTATACTATTAAAAATTGACTACTGGCGAGGTAGTGAAACTAGTACTGTAGCAGTAGTCAATTTTTTGTATTTCTTAAATCTAAATTAGTACAAATTTTAACTAATTTGAATTAGTGAAATTTTTTTTAATATTAAATAAGTAAAATTTAACTAATTCATAGTAAAAAAAATTTTTGTTAGTATCGAATTAGTAAAATTTGAGTAATTAATAGTAAAATACATTTTTTTAGTTTCGAAATAGTAAAAAAAAAATTTTGTTAGTATCAAAAAAAGTAAAATTCAACTAAGTAATTTGTAATCAAAATAAATTTAATAGGTTTTAATTAGTAAAATTTAACTATTTCATAGTAAAAATTTTTTTGTTAGTATCAAATTAGTAAAATTTGAGTAATTAATAGTAAAATACATTTTTTTAGTTTCGAAATAGTAAAAAAATATTTGTTAGTATCAAAAAAAGTAAAATTCAACTAAGTAATTTGTAGTAAAAATAAATTTAATAGTTTTTAATTAGTAAAATTTAACTATTTCATAGTAAAAATTTTTTTTTAGTATCGAATTAGTAAAATTTGAGTAATTAATAGTCAAATAAACATTTTTTTAGTTTCGAAATAGTAAAAAAAATTTTTTAGTATCAAAAAAAGTAAAATTCAACTAAGTAATTTGTAGTAAAAATAAATTCAACAGTTTTTAATCAGTAAAATTTAACTAATTAATAGTAAAAATAATTTAGTATCGAATTAATAAAATTTAAGTAATTAATAGTAAAAAAAAATTTTTTTTTTGGTTTCAAAAAAGTACAAATTTTTCGTTAGTATCAAATAAATAAAATATAGTAGTAACTAAGTAATTTATAGTAAAAATAAATTTGATAGTATCGAATTAGTTAAATTGAACTAATTAATAGTAAAAAAGAATTAAGTATCGAATTAGTAAATTTAAACTAATTAATAATAAAAAATTTCGTTAGTATAGAATTAAAAAAAATTTGACTAATTAATAGTAAAAAAAAGTTTAGTATATCGAATTAGTAAAATTTGACTAATTAATAGTAAAAAAAAATTAGTAACGAATTAGTAAAATTTAAGTAATTCAAAATAAAGTCACCAATTGAAATTAGTTAAAAAAATTTACTAATTAAAATTTAAAAAGTAGGTAATATAGAAAAAAATTAATTTTTTTGAAATTAATTTTAATAGTAACCTTAAAGTTTTAGCAGTGTGTATTGTTGACGTTTCGGCGATGTGATTTTGCAGGTACTGATTCAAATCTCCGTATTCTCCGTTTTCCAATACGATACACATTGGATCATTTTCTAGACTGGCACCGAGTAGTCGTGCGACATTTCGATCGATGAGTCGTGCCAGTCTTTTTGCCTCTTGCTGAAATTCTACCCTGAAATTCATATATAAAATGTGCTGTGAAAAATATTAGATTTGTATAAGCAAGTCTGCTTTTGCAAATTGAGTATATATATATAGCTCCCTCTCTCTCTCTCTTCCTCTATTTCCTTTGACATTCAAGAAATATAGATTCTAAAATTCTACACCGTGTTTATGCTTATTTCTATTGATAGCTTATTGAAACGTTAAAAAAAACCGTCTTTTAATAAAAAAAAAAAAAAAAAATTGTCCGTAAATATATCGGCTTCAATATTCATATATTTAATAAAATATTTTTCTTCTCCTTTCAAAGGAATGAAAAAAATTAATTTTTTTTTTACTATTAATAGAAATTTGATTTCTCTTTTCAAACTTAGGGTAGGAAAACAAAACAAAACAAAAAAAATTCCCTGTAAACAGCAATCTTTTTTGTGAATCAAAGCTTTTCTATCAAGTAAACAATGTTTGAATCGAAAGAGGCTCGAGCGAAAGGAGTTTAGTTCTGGTCCTCTATATATAGTTTCCATCGTTGTAAAAGTTTGCCCTAGAGGCGAGTAAAGTTGCATTGTTGAGGAAATAGTCGGCAGTCAGCTGAAAGTATACATTGTGCATCATGTGTACGATAAAATCGATGAAATCAGAAAAAAAACAGAGAAAAGAATATATATACTATCAATGATATGTCACATTTATTATATATATATGTGTGTGTGTATTCAACTCATATATCTCTCTTTGAAGTATATAATATTTACATCTATTTTTCACATAAAAAGAGTTAGATCTTTTAATGCTCATAGAAAAAAGGTTGTCTTGTAAAAAAAATTTTGTTGAATCATAATTCTTTGTACTGGAAAAAAAATTTGATTTAAATAATCGATTATCAAAGTAAATATTTACTTGAATCAGGTAATTTTTATTTACTAATTAATATAGTAACTTTACCAAATGAATTAGTCATTTTCTACAAACAAATAGTAGTTTTCTGTTAACAATTACTAGTTTTTTGCACAAAAAATTAGCATTTTTCTACTAACAATTAGTATTTTTTTACTAATAATTAGTAGTTTTCTACTAGCAATTAGTAATTTTTTACTAACAGTAGTTTTCTATTATTAATTAGTTATTTTATACTAAGAATCAGTCGAAACTTTTAAATTTTTAGTAATTCTTAGTCAAGAACTACTAATTGATAGTAGAAAACTAGTAATTGTTAGTAAAAATGCTAATTATTATTAAAAAAATACTAATTAATAGTAGAATGGTACTAATTATTAGTAGAAAAATACTAATAGTAGAAAGCTACTAATTATTAGTAAAAAATGTTAATTATTAGTAAAAAAATACTAATTAATAGTAGAATGGTACTAATTATTAGTAGAAAAATACTAATAGTAGAAAGCTACTAATTATTAGTAAAAATGCTAATTATTAGTAAAAAAATACTAATTAATAGTAGAATGGTACTAATTATTAGTAGAAAAATACTAATAGTAGAAAGCTACTAATTGTTAGTAGATAAATGACTAATTCCTAGTAGTAAGCTACTAATTATTAGAAGAAAAATATTAATTCATAGTAGCAAAATATTAATTGTTAGTAGAAAAATACTGTTTTTTAGTAGAAAACTACTAATTGTTTATAGAAAAACAGAAAGTTTACTGAATCATTTAATGAATGAATCAATTTAATTGAATTAGTCCATAATTAACTAATTTACATGTAGAGAATAATTTTTTTTTCATTCTGCTAATTAGAATCTTAATTAAATAAAATATAATTTTGAATTTTATTAATATAAAGAATTAAAAATCCCCACAAACCTCAAAGATTCCGAGGATCCTGGTCGTAGTGATTTGACAATTACAAGATCACTGTTTGTGTGTCGAAAAATTTTCTCCGAACCGGGAAATCTGTCAACTTCACAAATATGAATATCGCCAAAATTTCCCGATCCAAGATTCTCAACAATATTGAGTTTTTCGCGAGGAAAATCAAAAATTGGATCCTCATCCTCCTCATCTGTTAGCATGTCCTCAGGACTGTAACTATTTAAGCTACTCGATGCCTTGACACTCATGGCAATTGGTGTACTTGCATTTGGCGATGGTGGTAGAGGTGGTAGTGGGCTCTGAAACAAAATATATAGTTACGACAACCAAAATTTGGTTACGACAATCGAAATTTAGTTACGACATTCAAAATTCGGTTATGACAATTAAAATTCAGTTACGAGTAACTCCAAAATTCGGTTATGACAATCAAAATTTAGTTACGACATCCAAATTTTGGTTATGACAACCAGAATTCTATTACGACAACCAAAATTTAGTTACGACAACCAAACTTTGGTTGCGACAACCGAAATTTAGTTACGATATTCAAAATTCGGTTACGACAATCAAAATTTAGTTACGACAACCAGAATTAGGTTACGACAACCAAAATTTAGTTACAACAACCAAACTTTGGTTGCGACAACCGAAATTTAGTTACGACATTGAAAATTCGGTCACGACAATCAATATTTAGTTACCTCATCCAAATTTTGGTTACGACAACCAGAATTCGGTTACGACAACCAAAATTTAGTTACGACAACCAAACTTTGGTTACGACAATCAAAATTTAGTTAGGGGCCATTCATTAATTACGTAAGGGTCCTTAAGGGGTGGGGGGGTTTATAAAATCTCTACATGGTCTTACGTCGGGGGGAGGGGGGGTAGAAGCTAATCTTACGTAAGATTTTGCCAAGTATTTTCCATTTGTATTGTTGTTATTAATTTTACAATTACATTAATATTGTTAAAAACTTACGTAAGAAGGGGGAGGGGGGGTCCGAAAAATCTTATGTATTCTTACATGGGGGTAGGGGGGTCAAAATTAGCCAAAATCGTCCTTACGTAATTAATGAATGGCCCCTTACGACAACTAGAATTAGGTTACGACAACCAAAATTTAGTTACGACAACCAAACTTTGGTTGCGACAACCAAAATTTAGTTACGACATTCATAATTCGGTTACGACAATCAAAATTTAGTTACGACATCCAAATTTTGGTTACGACAACCAAAATTTGGTTACGACAACCAAAATTTAGTTACTGCAACCAAAATTTTGTTGCGACAACAAAAATTGCTTAACCAAACGATTTTGTTGAAAATTACCTTGCATATCTCCGTGCTGGCATAATATTTTTCAGGTGGCGGTGGTATAGGTGGAGGATTAGATGAATATTCCTCAACAGGGAGAATTGGTCTCTTAAGATTTATCGCCGTGTTAAATAGTGGAATAACTGGTTGTACGTCAGTAATTCCTATCCAACAAAAAAAAAAAATAATTTATTTACAAAATAGAAATTGGTTCAAAAAAAAAAAAGATTTTTTTTTCCGTTGTAGTAATAATTTTCGGTATTAATTTATAGAAAAACTCTTTTTTTTTCATATACGCAGTTGATTACATTAACGCATACCGGAAAAACGATTGTTTCCATTTTCCTCTATATGTATATAAGATTAAAATAACAATCCTCACGTGTAATATAAATCTGCAGCAGATCTAAATGTTCCCATGTTTTCAGTATGTACACAACGGACTTTTGCCAGAGATCAGGAATTATCAGTTTAATGGATTTCCGTTGTTTCATTCGAGTTCGCGGAAAGGGAATATAATTTATTCATGAACAAATATCAAGCTAAAAAGTTTTTAAATGTTTTAACGAATTAATGTAATATTTATGTGTGCGAAAAATGAAAAAAATTTTTTTTTTTTTGAGAATTATCCAATTGAGGAAAAAAAAATGATTTGAAGTAAATTATGTAGGAAGAATTAAAATTAGTAGTTTTTGTTTTATAATTGAATAGAGAATTTAAAAATTTATTAAAAATTCAATTTTTTGGATGTTAAAATTTTTTTTTTTTTTTTTTTTTTTGTAAATTTTACAATGAAAATGGACCTTGATTAAATAATTTAATGACTGATGAAAATTAATAGTCGGATTTCCTGAGAGGACTTACAGTTTGGTATTACAATTTCAACCCCGGCTATCCAAAGGTAAACTTAGTCCTTAAAGTTTCTCTAGTACAAAACCATCCATGATGATACCGCATCACGAGAGAAGAGCCAAGAAGGATGAAGCTTCTAACAAGTTTTGATGTTATATTAGGACATGTAAGATCGCTAATAATAAAGGATATCAACTAAAAGCTTCTTCTCTAAATATATCAAATATTTATGAAAGATGGTGTTCATTTTTAGACAAAATTATTATAATTTTAGGGGAAAATTATTTTTCAAAATAATACCAAACTGTAAATAATCTCGAAAAATTTTAAATTGAAAGACTATTAACAGAAATTAGATTTTTGTTCCGTTAAATTTTGACTTTTTCTACTGATATTACTAAAATTAATCTCTACTACTGATAACATAAAAAAATAATAATGTCTTACTAAAACCAAGATAAAATTAATTTTTTTATAGGTTTAACTAAATATTGACTTGTACTACTGATAAAATTACAAAAGATAAAGTCTTTTTTAAAACCTACTTTTACTACTGTATTTGTATATTATTCATTATGTTTGAGTGAAATCGATTTAACTACCAATAATATAACAAAAAATTACAAAGGCTGACCAAATATTGACTTGTACTACTGACAGAATCAGAAAATCTAATAAGTCTGACTTAAAACATACTTTTACTACTGTTTTTTTATAATTTATTCATTATGTCTGACTGAATCCGACTTTCACTGCTGCTAAAATACAATAAATTAAAATATTTGACTAAATATTGACTTGTACTACTTAAATATGCAAATATTTAAAAAGTCTGACTAAATATTTACCTGTACTACTGTTTTTTACTTTATTTCTAATGTCTGACTAAAAATCAGCCTTTACTACTGATAACATTCAAGATCTAGTGAAGGTCACTACAAGGTCAAGTCAAGGTCATTCAAGGTCAAGTCGAGGACATTAAAGTTCAAATCAAGATTTGGCCAAAGCTTGACTTGTCAACTTACTTCTGACTAAATCCAATTTTTACTACTGACGAAATTCAAAATATTTTAAATGTTTCACTAAATATTGATTTTTACTACTGATAGAATTACAAAAGATAAAAAGTCTGATTTAAAACTTACTTTTACTAATGAATTTCAAATTTATTACTATGTCTGACTAAAGCCGAGTTTTACTACTGAAAAACTATACTAATTGTTAGAAAGCTTGACTAAATATTTACTTGTACTACTTATAAAATAACAAAAGTTTTTCTAGATTTTTCAAAAATATTTTCAGTAGAAGAAGTCAATAGTTAGTCAGACATTGTCATATTTTTTTTGGTAATTTTATTAGTAGATAAAATCGATTATGACGCATAGATTATGAAGCTAGTAGTGAAAGTCAACGATTAATCAGACTTTCTAAATGTTTTGTAATTTGAATATTAAATCATTTCAATAATTATTAGTAGGCGACAAAAATAAAAATGTTGAAATAATGACTAAATTGGAAAATCAGTAGTAGAAATCAGTTTCTGTCGGACATAATAAATAAATTATTAAAATAGTAGTAAAAGTCGAAAAATATTTATTTAAATAATATAGGAATAATATTACATTTTTTTCTGTAATTTTATTAGTAGATTTTTTAGTCAGATGTAATATCTAATTTAAAAAATAAGTAGTAAAAATAAATATTTGATCGGACTTTATATTTTTTATCAGTAGTACAAGTCAGTATTTAATCAGGCACTGGAATTATTTTTATTTTGTTAGTAGATCAAGACGATGTTAGTCAGACGTAGTGGCTAAGTTAGTAAATAAGTGATAAAAGTAAATGTTCAGTCAGACTTTTTACATTTTTTGTTTTTTATCAGTAGTACAAGTCAATATTTAGTTAAATACTGTAATTATTTTTATTTTATTAGTAGATCAAGACGATTTTAGTCAGACGCATTGGTTTAATTAGGAAATAAGTGATAAAAGTAAATGTTCAGTCAGACTTTTTACATTTTTTGTTTTTTATCAGTAGTACAAGTCAATATTTAGTCAGATACTGTAATTATTTTTATTTTATTAGTATAAGTGATAAAAGTAAATGTTCAGTCAGACTTTTTACATTTTTTGTTTTTTATCAGTAGTATAAGTCAATATTTAGTCAGCCATTTTTTTAAGTGATTAGTAGTCCAAAACGTTTTTAGTCAGACACATTGGCTGAATTAGGAAATAAGTGATAAAAGTAAATGTTCAGTCAGACTTTTTACATTTTTTGTTTTTTTATCAGTAGTATAAGTCAATATTTAGTCAGCCATTTTTTTCTAAGTGATTAGTAGACCAAAACGTTTTTAGTCAGACGTAGTGGCAAAATTAGATAATAAGTAGTAAAAGTAAATATTTAATTAATAGAAAAATCCTTTGGCTGCCAAAATTTTAGATACGACAACCAAAATTTTGGTTACGACAACAAAAAATATTTGATTTACCCCATTATTATAGTTTAGAATTCTAAATATATAAGCCAATTAAAATTTGTTTACGCAAACCAAAATTTAGTTACAACCAAAATTTTGGTTACGACAACTGAAAATATTTGATTGCCCCCATTATTAAAGTTTAGAAACCCAAAATATCTAACTTAAAAGGAATTGAAGGTAAACAAACTCCTCTCTCACAAGTTTAACATCCGGTTCCTCGGTTTTCGAAATGCCGGAAACAGCAACGCGGCATTGTTGTTCAAAGTCGACGCGCGTCGGACTTTACTACTTCGAAAATAGTGTATATAATCTAGTGTGTTTACGTTAGAAATAGTAGTAGTAGTAGTAGTAGTAGTGGTACCAACCAGTATACTCCGAGGTAGTTTTGTGAAGCTGTGGAGTTGTTGTAGTTGATGTGGTGGTACCGACGGTGGTGTTGCTTGCAGTAGTGGTAGTGGTGGTACTTCCATAGGCAGTGGGACGATATTGAGGTGGAAGCGGGGGGCAAATTGGTCCCTTGTCCTCGCTCTCCTCCACTGAAACCTGCCAAATATGGAGCGCGTTATCGTTAATGCATGTGACATTTATGTGCACACCCTAGCGTGTTATAGAGCAGATCACGCGAAGAGAGAGAGTGAGAGAGAGAGAGAAGGGAGCCAAAATGGAACACAGGTCGACCGCGCATTCACACTCGATGAATGCAGAGAGCTACCTGCTTCATATTAACAGCCTCTGATACGATAAACGTTCTCACATTTGCCATATCCGTGTTTCATATATACAATATATATATTTTTTCAAAATTCAATGTCCATCTGAAGCCAATAAACAGTGTGACAAAATATTTACCACGTGATATTAAATTCTCCCTGTACTCTCTCTCTCCCTCTCTTTTTCTCTCTCTCTCTCTCTTTTTCTCTCCATAATGGTAATTGTTTTATAATTCATAATTTTGGTTTTTAACTCTGAGTTGGAAAAAATTAGAATTAGATACGTTTTTAGTGACGCTCCACGAGAGAAGGGATCGAAAAAAATTTTTAGGTTATGTTTAGCGATAGCTTTACCGGAGTGTATCTAAACGCAACTGCGCTTGCGCTACATTGATTCATGTCCGCCATTCATCTCTCACCTGAGTTGCAACAGTTTCGCCGCAAGAGCGCTAGTATCGCTAAAAAGGACTCGAAAAATTGTTATCATTTTTCTTTATTTAATTAGATAAAATGAAAATTTGTTTTTAATTTTTAATATAATGAATATTATACCAAGAGCTGATTCTCCCTATGGGGCCATTCATTAATTACGTAAGGACGATTTTGGCTAATTTTGACCCCCCCCTACCCCCATGTAAGGATACATAAGATTTATCGGACCCCCCCCTCCCCCTTCTTACGTAAGTTTTTAACAATATTAATGTAATTAAAAAATTAATTACATCAATACAAATGGAAAATACTTGGCAAAATCTTACGTAAGATTAGCTTCTACCCCCCACCCCCCACGTAAGACCATGTAGAGATTTTATAAACCCCCCCCTCCCCCTAAGGACCCTTACGTAATTAATGAATGGCCCCTATAAGTATTTTCTTTTCAAAAATTACGAACATAACCTAAAATTGTTTTTTTAATTGTTAAGTCCCTTCTCTCGTGTACAATTTTGCTTTTTATTTCTCAAAAAAGTAGAAATTGATTTTTTAGTAAAAAAATTCGAATCGTAATATATTAACAACGTTCGTTTTATTCAATGTCCATCTGAAGCCAATAAACAGTGTGACAAAATTACCACGTGATATTAAATTCTCCCTGTACTCTCTCTCTCTGTCTTTTTCTCTCTATAATGGTAATTTTTAATTGTTTTGTAATTCATAATTTTGATTTTTAATTCTGGGTTGAAAAAAAAATTAGAATTAGATACGTTTTTAGTGACGCTCCACGAGAGAAGGGATCGAAAAAAAATTTTAGGTTATGTTTAGCGATAGCTTTACCGGAGTGTATCTAAACGTAACTGCGCCTGCGCCACATGTCCGCCATTCATCTCTCACCTGAGTTGCAACAGTTTCGCCGCAAGAGCGCTAGTATCGCTAAAAAAGACTCAAAAAATCCCTATCAAAATTTTTATTTATTTAATTAGATAAAACAAAAATTTTGTTTTTAATTTTTAATATAATGAATACTATACCAAGAGCTGATTCTCCCTATAAGTATTTACTTTCCAAAAATTACGAACATAACCTAAAATTGTTTTTTTAAATGTAAAGTCCCTTCTCTCGTATACAATTTTGCTTTTTATTTCTCAAAAAAGTAGAAATTGATTTTTTAGTAAAAAAATTCGAATCGTAATATATTAACAACGTTCGTTTTATTCAATGTCCATCTGAAGCCAATAAACAGTGTGACAAAATATTTACCACGTGATATTAAATTCTCCCTGTACTCTCTCTCTCTCTCTCTCTTTTTCTCTCTATAATTGTAATTTTTATATTGTTTTATAATTCATAATTTTGGTTTTTAATTCCGAGTTGAAAAAAATTAGAATTAGATACGTTTTTATTGACGCTCCACGAGAGAAGGGATCGAAAAAAATTTTTAGGTTATGTTTTTGCGATAACTTTACCGGAGTGTATCTAAACGCAATTGCGCTTGCGCCAAATGTCCGCCATTCATCTCTCACCTGAGTTGCAACAGTTTCGCCGCAAGAGGGCTAATATCGCTAACAAGGACTCGAAAAATCCCTATCAAAATTTTTCTTTATTTAATTAGATAAAATGAAAATTTGTTTTTAATTTTTAATATGTAATGAATACTATACCAAGAGCTGATTCTCCCTATAAGTATTTTCTTTCCAAAAATTACGAACATAACCTAAAATTGTTTTTTCCCTTCTCTTGTATACAATTTTGCTTTTTATTTCTCAAAAAAGTAGAAATTGATTTTTTAGTAAAAAAATTCGAATCGTAATATATTAACAACGTTCGTTTTATATACTTAGGAAACTCGCGACTATGAATGCACGATTCAACATTTATTTCTGTCTCTCTTTCTCTCTCTATATATATATTACATTCGTAACAACCCTTCTACTTTCACCTAATGTAGCATAAAATACAAGAGATCCGTAAAACAGGGCTTTATTGGTAACATGGTAAGAGAGGAGACCCTTATCTTTGCGACACTTTAGCGGTTTATCGCTTTCCTCGAGAGTGAAGTGGTGGAGGTTCTCCACGCCTCGGCGGAGATCGACCGACACTACTGAACATCAGGAAATTAACAGTTTCATAACAAACAATTTGCACGTGATAAGAGGAACCTTTTGCATACATACATATATATATATATATAGAGTCAAGATGGGCAAAGCACAAACCGGTTATAATATCTATCGATTTTTCAAAACGCCCCCCCCCCCTTCTTTCCCCTTCCAAGCGGGAATAAGAGAATGTTAATTTCCGTTTAGGGTGCCTTTTCGAGTGCCCGGAGCCTCGTTTGAGATGCTGCAGCTCGTTTAGATAAGATAACCACTTAGCCATCAGGATTCAACTCGAATCTTATCTCCCGAGGTTATTCTCCACTAAGTTTGCTTCCTTTAGTTTCTTTTTTCCTCCGGGCTTTACTTTATATGCTTTCAGATTTCTTTCAAGATTTTTTTTTTTTTTTTTGTTACTTTCGTCATTTTTTTTTTCTCTTGGAAATTTTTTTCACGATAAAGTGATGTAATTAGTGGGTACGCAGTTCTTTTAAATTATATCTTAATTAATATTTCAAAAAAACATTTTTTTCGAAACATAAAAAAGAATACAATAATTTGTATTTTTGGAAATTTTTTTATTTTATTTATTTATTATTTGTTCTCGTTATTGTATTACACAGAGAAAATTTTTTTTTGAACCAAATATACGAAAAAATTTTTTACCTCGAACAACGATAAGTTTCATTGGAACAGCGAAATGTTTCACTAAAACAGTGAAAGTATTCGCTATTATTGAGAAACATATCACTGTTTCAAAGATTTTTTTTCCGTGTACCATTTTGTATTGTATAAATAGAATTTTTTTTGTTTATTACAAACAAAATTTGTTTGATTCGAATAAATATTTTTTTGATCTAAATAAACGTTTGTGTTGAGTTTAATAAATTTTTGCGAATGAGGAAAGAATTTAATTGAGGCAGATTAACTTTTTAAATCAACAAAATGTTTTATTTGGTTGAATTAAATTCTTTCTTTGTTCGCAAAAATTTATTAAAATACTTTCTAAAGCGTAATTAGTAAAAATTTTAGCTAATTAAGTAATTTTCAGTAATTTAATTACTAAAATTTACCTAACGAACTAATTTTTACTAATTTAATTAGTCAAATTTAACTAATTGACCATACTTTCACTAATTTAATTAGTAAATTTTAAATTGGCTAATTTTAACTAATTTGATTAGTCAAATTTAACTAATTGATCATACTTTCACTAATTTAATTAGTAAATTTTAAATTCGCTAATTTTAACTAATTTAATTCGTCATATTTAACTAATTGACTAATATTTTACTAATTTAATCAGTCAAATTTAACTAACTGACTAAATTTTTACTAATTTAATTGGTCAAATTTAACTAATTTAATTAATAAAATTTAACTAGTGAACTATTATTTACTAATTAAATTAGTAAAATTTAACTAATAAACTGTTTTTTACTAATTTGAGCAGTCAAATTTAACTAATTGATTAAATTTTTACTAATTTAATTGGTCAAATTTAACTAATTGACTAAATTTTTACTAATTTAATTGGTCAGATTTAACTAATTGACTAAATTTTTACTAATTTAATTAATAAAATATAACTAGTGAACTATTTTTTACTAATTAAATTAGTAAAATTTAATTAATAAAATTTAACTAATAAACTGTTTTTTACTAATTTGAGCCGTTAAATTTAACTAATTGATTAAATTTTTACTAATTTAATTAGTCAAATTTAACTAATTGACTAAATTTTTACTAATTTCATTGGTGTAACTAGTGAAGTATTTTTTATTAATTAAATTAGTAAAATTATAAAATTGACTAATTTTAAGTAATTTAGATGGTCAAATTTAATTAATGAACTAATTTTTACTAATTTAATTAATAAAATTTAACTAATAAAAATGTTTTTTACTAATTTGAGCCGTCAAATTTAACTAATTGATTAAATTTTTACTAATTTAATTAGTCAAATTTAACTAATTGACTAAATTTTTACTAATTTAATTGGTCAAATTTAATTAGTGAATTATTTTTTACTAATTAAATTAGTAAAATTATAAAATTGACTAATTTTAACTAATTTACATAGTCAAATTTAATTAATGAACTAATTTTTACTAATTTAATTAATAAAATTTTACTAATAAACTGTTTTTTTACTAATTTGAGCCGACAAATTTAACTAATTGACTAGATTTTTACTAATTTAATTAGTCAAATTTAAAATTGACTAATTTTAACTAATTTAATTAGTAAAAGTTAACTAATTAATAGTAACAAAAAAAATTTTGTTATTGATTTAGTAAAA